AAAAAAAGATACTGTACAGAGAGGTTACAGTTACACGAGTAAGGCAAAAAAAGATTAAATTTATTGCTTACAAATTCTAAAATAATTACCAATTGAAATACAGTGGCAAAACACAAAAATATTTTATTACAAAAATAATAATGCCTAAGATACGAATAATATTGGTAATAGCAACCCAGTGCAACATTAACTCTGTGTCTATCTTAATAATTTAAGTTTCATCGTACCTCTTTTGAAAACTAAATTGGATACCCTCATCCACAAGTCAATTAATATGCTTAGTGCTAATTCTAAAACAATAGACTATAATATCATAAAATCACAGTTCTTGTCTTCTTTGACTACTAGTTAAAGCTATTTTAAGAATATTGAATCATATTTATAATCTAGTTTATATGTAAGGACATAGATGTGCTAGAAAAGGATGGTGGGGGTAAGTTCTTAAGATATTTTCTTGACTTGCCTCTTTCCTATCTTTTCTTTTGTACAAAGGAGGTGCCATATACAAAACAATTTATGAATATAGTGGGTCTTGATCCCTGTTACCCCTTTAACATTCTCCCTTTTCATCCATTCCTTCCCTTACTTTCCCTAATTGTATGGTATATACAATGAATTCTTTAAAAATATTTTTATTATTTTTAAGTAGCTGTACAAGGAGTTGCATTCACCAAAGCAGTGTATGAATATAGTACATCTTGATCAATGTCATCCCTTTCAACATTCCCACTCATCCCTCCCCTTTATATCTTCATTTTAGGTTATGTATTGAATTCATTTTGTGCCATTTAACAGAGCAGTTGATTTGTACAATGCATCTTAATAGGTGTCCGCACTTCAACATCTTCACTCCCCTTTACCCAACGTATTATTGACTGCACCCCCACCCATCCCCTTCATTTGTCTACTCATCTCCGTTGGCCCCAACACCCCTCTTGAATGTTTCATTTCCTGGTACTTATTTCGTTGGAATTTGTGTTCATCTTTCTAAAGAATTATACTAGTTGAGCTCTCCACGGACTCCATTATACTTCAGTTAATACATTTGTAACCACTTGCATACCATCGAGGATGTTTACTTATAGATGTAGGTATGGTCTCTCTATCACAAATGAGGGAAACCAAGCAACCTTTATTTCTCTGTTTCTGGTTTACTCCCTTAATATAATGTTTCCAAGTCTTTCCATTCCTTACCAATGCCCATTTCCTAAAACTTAGAAGCAGTACATCTTGTTACCTTCCTATGTGTTCAGCAGCATATAACTTCCCTATACTATCCTCTTGCTAAGGAGACTTTGGGAAAGAAAGGTACACAATTTTCACTCATGAATAAGGATTTTAAAATGCTAAATAAAATTAATAGCAAATTGTATCCAAGGATAAATGAAAAGACAAATTTCATCCATAGCCACTAATGATTGGATTTGTCAAGAATTAATTGATAAAGTCAAGAAAGGTAAAAAATAAGAGGCTTAAGAAAAGGAGAAAGCTACTCAACTACTAAAGAAGTCACTTCTTTCATTCCTCACTGGTCATGTCAAGTATAAAGATGATGAAAAACCCAGATGGTGATCCTCTGAAAACAGAGAACATCTTTGGATCAAGCTAATTTCATTGAAGTTGAGGTGGAGGTATATTTAGCCAAAAGGTATATTGAGGTGGAGCTGTATTTAGCCAAAAAGAATGAAAGAAAGAAAAGAAGACTAGGTTAGCAATACCTAAAATAATGAAGCCCTGGAAATTTCCTGACTTTATAACATCCTCACTGCAGTTATCCTGAGGGGATGAGTTAAGTCTGGCCAAGAGGACTTTACACTGTAGGCAGTCACTGTTGTGTTGCTAGTTTGACCCAGATGCCATGCAGTACTCAGAGTTCAAATGTATCATCCCCAGAGTAGCTGTTGTCTTCCTGTGACATATTCACTACCAGAACCTAAAGAGCACCTGTGCTTGACTGAATAATAATGGTAGCATGAGCTACTCACTTTCACTGGATTTCTACCTAAATATCCTGAATTTGTGCTTACAACCACCTATTTTTTAGTCTTTCTAGAAGAATTTATTTCTCCCTGTCATTCTGTCCTCTAACTATAGTCCAGACAAGAAGTCTGCTACACATGCACAGACCACTAAACACTATTAAACTGCCAACCACAGTTCCCCAGCTGCTATGACTTATAAATAAATTGTTTTACCTCTTTACAATGCCAAAAAATGTACTTTGCATTCCAATTAGATTCACTTCAGCCTAAAATATATGTCAACCAGGTCACCTCTCATTGATAAATCCCGAGGTGCTTTCAAAGATTACTGAAAAGGAGTTTGAAAATACAAAATACCATAGATATCCAAAATAATTGTTTCCTGAAGCAAATTTTGGAAAGGCTGTTCAATATTTCTTTGTCTTTGAAATGTGAAGTCACTTTGGTTCTATCCAATGCTTGTCTCCAATACCTCCATGAGTCATACTTTAATGTGGGCAGAGGAAATGCTAATTTGAGATCTTCTGAGTGACAGATGAGACACTGCAGTAAGTAAAGTAGCACTTTGGCTTACACTGGACTTCATACCTGAGCGCATAGCCTCTTTCTGAATGCTTTCATAGTCATGCCAGTCCTTTCTTCTCAAACCATCTGTCCATGAATAGAATTGCCCATCTCCCAGGCCCAGTGGGTATGTCTGTGGAAAAGGAAAGTATTCAAGCATAAAAAGGAGGAATTTCCTTTTGCATGGTAGGTAAACACAGCCGGGCACATAACAGGCAATCAAAGAATATTTGTTAAATAAGTGAGTCTTCTGGGTATAGTGGAAAGAAAACTGTTGCTACTGACTGGAAAAAGCACACATTTTAAATTGTATTCCTTTACTTTTAAAAGGAGAGCATCCATGTCCCACAGGCTCTGCCACTTCCTGTTTTATTTGATCACAAAACATTAAAATTTCAGTGTGCTACCTCCTCTGAGCATAAATGCCTAGCTATGTTCAATTTCCTTAAATGTAAAGAATAGCACTGCCATCAATTTGGGTGTTACACTGAATTAATTTTGTTTGTGATGTATAAAGTTTCATCCTTTTTGATCAAGTACATTTGAATGGCTTTTAAGAATATTAGCAACCATTCATTGAATGCTCACTATGTGCCAGGTGCTATATTCAATATCTTACGTGCTTTTAATGCACAACTTAAGTTTTACACAAATATTGAATTTTAGTAGTAGTTTGGGGCTATAAATCCTCATCTTTTTGTGAAATAAACTGAGGCTCAATAACTATTGAAACCACCATGACACAGCCACGATGTAATCTCTGTTAGAACTGAAATTGTGGTTTTTAACAACTATTAAACACTTATTCCCTCTAGACTGCAGATAACATAATGCATGTTTACACTTAGCAATAAAATAGTTGCCCATTGATCATCTGTAGTCCACACATACTCTATCTGTTACCCACACCCAGTATGTTGTAATATCAACTTGAAAATTATCACTGTATATTGGAGAGGCTATTACTTTTTTATAGTATTCATTTTTGGCAAAGAGAAACAAAGTTATTTTAGATAAAACTTATTACCACAATCTTAGTAGTCAAGATAAAGTAAAACAAAATTCCATGCAACATACTATTTTTCTTTTTAAAATAAACAAGTAGTTGTAACCCCCAAAAAGAAAAAAAAAGGAGGAAAAATAAAATTAGGCAAAAGATGATTTTAGATAAGGAATTTTATTTAAGGAGCTTTTCTAAGGAAAATAACATACCCATTTCTCTTTCATTCTTTCTCTTTCTTTCTTTCTTTTCTTTCTTCCTTTCTTTCTCTCTCTCTTTCTTTTTTTTTTGTCTGTTGTGGGGCTTGAACTCTGGGCCTGGGCACTGTCCCTCAGCTTTTCAGCTCAAGGCTAGTGCTCTTCCACTTGAGACACAGCAACACTTTCAGTTTTCTGGTGGTTTATTGCAGATAAGAGTCTGATGGACTTTCCTGCCCCAGTTAACTTAGAACGGTGATCCTCAGCTCTCAGCCTCCTGAGTAGCTAGGATTACAGGCATGAGCCACTGATGTTTGGCTACATACCCATTTCTTAATTTTAAAGAATGCGAAGCTACTTACTTTTATCCTCTTATAGCTTACAAAAGGATCCACTTGTTTTGAATGAATAGTTTACAAAAAATAGTTTACAAAAAGAAGGAAGTAATATTAAAATTAGCAGAAAGATTTTCTAAATTGAGTGACTATAATTTGCATATTTCAATTATTATTTTAGTCATTTTGGTGGTAAATTCAGAAAAAAATAATTGGAAATGAGTAGAACAAAGTACAGAGAAGATAGTGAGCTAATGCAAAATACTAATAGTCATGGTTATAAATATGAAAAGAAATATGAAAACAGAATATCAAAAATATGAAGCATATAGTACAAATAGAAGAAAAACAAAAATAGTAATTGGAGAGATGTATAGCATATATTTTAAAGCCAATAGTCTTCTATTTTTTATTATGTCTAAATAGTTATACAAAACACAGCCTATTTTTCTAATTGCTATGGATCTTACGATTACATAGATTGTTAAAGATAGAAAAACGTAAGAAGTTACAAACAATCAAATAACTTTGAGTATGTGACCTGTATTTTGTTTAGTTATTCATGTAAGGTGTTAAAAACTGAGCAACAGTAAACATTTTTATTGACTGTTATGGATAATACCACTGTACAAATGTGACTTTCTGATCAACAAAGTCTTGTGCTTGTGTGTGCTGTGCATTTACTGGTTCCTCAGTAGACTCTGTTTGCCTATTAGGCAGAGAATTCTTAGTAACCAAAATTACAAAGTATTGAGTACAAAGTTTACTTTGTCCAGGAAACAGATAATTGAATTAATGATAACCTTTCTTGAAAAATCTGGAACTATTAGAAAAGCAGGATATTTTTGCCACTGAATATTGAAAGTACTAAAAACATTGAGTATTTCTGGAGGTGGGTTAAAGGCAAAAGACTAAATTTATACATATATATTATATTATATATACATATATATTATATGTGCATCTATCTATATAAATATATTATATAATACTACATATTCTATATTACATTCAATATCATATCATGTTATATTGTATTATTATTGTTCATAATATTGCATCTTGTATTTTATTGTGTATATATATATATATATATTTCTAGAAATCCCTTGAACGTTCCTGTGTTCAATTGCAATTGCAATAAAGAAGATTCCTGAAGACCATCACTGAACTCATTACTGGTAGCTTAATAGAGTAGGAAAGAATGAAACAAGTAATAGTTTGGCTACTAGAAAAGAGGACACCAAGTTACATTGAAAAGTGGAGTTCTAAGTCCATCCACATTCCAAGCATTATTATTTTACTAATTAGCCTATGTTCTCTCAATTGATTTCCAGAAGTTTGTCAACTCAGTGAAAAGAAGAAGAGGAGGAGAAGGAGGGAAGGAAGAAGAGGATGAAGAGAAAGAGGAGGAGGAGAGGAGGAATACAGAAAGAGAGAAATTGATATCTCAAGAACTATAATAAAACTTGGGCGCTGGTGGCTCATGCCTCTATCCTAGCTACTCAGGAAGCTGAGATCTGAGGATCAGGGTTCAAAGACAGCCTGAGCAAGAAAGTCTTTGAGACTCCTATCTCCAATAAACCAGCAGAAAACCGGAAGTGACACAATGGCGCAAATGGTAGAGTGCTCGCCTTGAGCTGAAGAGCACAGGGACAGGGCCTCAGCCCAGAGTTCAAGCCCCATGACCTAAAATAATAAAAATGAGGCATGGCAGTGAATCCATACTCCACTAGTTGTATATTTAGTAACTATGCAGGACATTCTCTAACAAGACCTTGTCTACAGTAGAGCTTAGTTTATTATTTTCATCACTTATTCATAAGCATGAGTAGGCAGTCAAGGATTAAGCAGCATCTGAGAGAATTTTCATTGTAAAATTCAGAATCCAAAAGTTAACAAAGACATAACAAACTTGATGAAGCAAATGCAATCTGAACCAAAAAAAAAAAAGGTTAAGAAAAATCAACATTTAATTTTCTCAAAGTCAAAGAAAGAGTGTGATGCTACAATATATGATTTGGGATAAGAGGTGAATTAAAGTACAAAGTAATTGTTTCTGTAATAGAGCATCAGATAAGGGAAAAAATGGAAAAGATAAACAACTATGAGAATATCTGAAAGCAAGTAATAGAATAAAAATATATGACCGACATATTTGCCTAGAGAATCAAGTATTCCAGTGGAGAAAGAACAAGGGCATTTCTGGGCAACACTGTAGGTTTCAAAGCATCATTTCACTTAAGAGTTGTTAAGTAAAACAATGAACCAAAAGCAAGTCCCAAACAAAAATCCTTGGGTTTCCATGTGCATCTGTGTTCTTGAGCAAGAAGTTTTGAGATCCTAACATTTTATGACAGCAGAAGAATGAGGGGGAAGTAGACATGTGACGCTGTAATAGGTGCATATGAACACGTGTGGGACAAACACCCCTTCATCTTCATGCATGACCCTCCCTGCCTCTGCATTACCCAGCAAGGTGTTAGAAATTCCTCATCCTGACTTATATGCACCTAACAGGAAACTTAGGGTAGAAGAGAAAGACAGAGATATGGGTGGAAACAACTTTTTCTGTATGATTTTTGAGGGTTAAAAGTAGTTGAAGGGCTGGGAATGTGGCTTAGTGGTAGAGTGCTCACCTAGTATGCATAATGCCCTGGGTTCGATTCCTCAGTACCACATAAACAGCAATAAAAACTGCGCTATGGCACAAGTGGTAAAGTGGTAGCCTTGAGCAAGAGAAGCTCAGGCATGGTGTTGAGGCTCCACGACAAGTGCCAGGATTGGCAAAAAAAAAGTGGTTGAACACTTCTGTGAACAGGAAAATAAACCAATTATCACACTAAGACAGGTGCAAACTCTTTAGAACAACATGGACCTGAAGAATCTCATACCTAGAGCTTATGATCTGTAGAGGGATTTGTTGTGTTTATATCTTTTTATCTACCAGAAATGTGTATGAGCAAAAACTAAATCAATCCCAATACATTTGGAAAGAACCATCTTGATCCTGAAAGCTTAACCATCCAGTAAATGATCCATTAGTATTTTGACCTTTCCTTTCACATGAGCAGTCTCCGGAGTCCATATCCATTTGCTGCTTTCCTGGGTTATCATATCTGCATGATTATAGAAGTACAGATCCATTTACTCTGACCTTGTAAAATAAATACAAAGAAGATTGTGCCTTCATGAGGCATCTATTTCAGATCCATCATTAGGTCGGCCATTTACTTGTGAAGGCTCTTTCAGCTCTTCACCTTATTCATTTGTCAAGTCACCTCAAATAATTAACTTGAAAAATATCAGGGATAAGAGAGACATATTCTATTAAGTAGAAACTACATGTAGTAGTAAGAGCTGGATCACAGAGCTAATAAAAATAATATACCTTTGAATGTCAAGAGAAAATATTTCCAAGAGTAAAATATTACCCATAGGCAATGCATTTATTGGAGGTAACAAATGCCCCATATAAACAGTGATGAAATATGGTACTGGAAATCTAAGATATACTGTTCTAAGGATTACTGAACTCTGAGGTTAAGCTACTACTGTTATTAACTTTTACAGAATGTTAAACTATCTCCCAAAAGCTGTC